ATAATGGCTATCATAATAACAGTTACGCAAACAAACTCAAGACAGTCTATGACAGCGACACACACCTGCCCTCTGTGGCTCTCAGCAGGTCACTCTGACCTGCAGACTCATGCAGCTGGCCTTAGTACCATCTACCACCCACTCCTGAGACTGCATCAGCCCACCCAGTGATCCATCAGTTATCACTCATGCATCAGGCCCAGGTCCCAGCTGTCATCCATCATGTTCAAAGGAAATCTTCAGTTGTAACACAGTACAAGTGATATAGGGATATAATATTTACCCAGGTGGTTATATCCAACCTAATATATCAGTCACTCATGCTCAAGTCACCGTACATGTTATGAGAAAAACTGTAGCTTTGTTGTGTCTTTGTTCGTTACATTTTAGGAGTAAGCAAAGTATTTGTGCAGCTGTCTGCATATCATATGTGCTAATATTGTGTTTTCAAACTTTTAGGTGCACACTAAACCCCAGCGATCAGCTGGCCATGGAGGGTCCTCTGTCCAGAGTGAAGAGCATAAAGAAATCCCTGCGACAATCCTTTAGACGAATCAGACGTAGCAGAGTCTCTCTAAGAAAACAACATGTTAACACTGCTACTAAGGTAGAATCATAAAAAGGACTCTGCTGTCTGTTCCGTGTTTCTCCGTTGTCGCATGTGTTATATATGTTGATATCTGCCTAAGCAGCTCCAAGAGGCAAATGCTCGTCTGGAGGCTGAGTTGGCAGAGATGGAGCTGGCTCCCGTCCAGAGGAAAATCGAAGCTCGCTCTTCAGACGACTCTTTCACTGGCCTAGTACGGACGCTCTACTTTGCTGACACCTTCCTCTCTGACAGTGAGTTTGCGTGTTAAACGTGTACTATAGTACGCAAACAGCACTTGCTACAGAAATGAACAGTGGGCAGAACTCTGGGTTGTTTCCATTTCCTTACGTGTCTCCTCATTTTCTTGTAGGTTCACATAACACGCCCTCCCTATGGGCAGGGACCAATGGTGGCTGTGTGTTTGCCTACATGCTCCGCCTTCCTTCTGTCGAGCATAGAGCAGATGAGACTGTCACAGCTCAACTATGTAGGTTTAACATTGTGGTGGCCTGATCTCTCAGCTCTGCCCTCCTCTTGTAAAGTTGTCTCTTATTTGCGTCCTTTATTTTCAGCCAAGGAGATTCAGCTGATGCACCGCGCTCCTGTTGTTGGTATTGTGGTGTTAGATGGACATGGGGCTCCTCTCCCTGAGCCCCTGGAGGTGGCTCACGACCTGGCTCGCGCACCTGATATGCAGGGCTCACACCACCTCCTGGTCGTGTCTGAGGAACAGTTTAAGGTTAGACTTGGAGCACTGGGGTCGCAGTGGGTCATTAAGATGTCTTAAAAAGTTAATATCCAAGAAAAGGTCTTAAAATGCCTTGTTTCTGGTAAATTTTTCTAAAAGTTTTATGTTTTCAGGTAGTATTTTTAAAGACCTGTAGATTACAGCCCTCAAAAATAACAATTAAATCAGTTACTATTGGTTCATGTCACTTGTTGATATTGTTGTGTCTTAGCTTGTTCTATGCTCTAAAGAGAACGCCATTTATGTGGTCTAGGCTCACAACTTTTAATATCGGTACAATTACTGTTATTTATCGACGTGTAGGATAGAAATATTAAATCCTCTTAAAATTTTTAAACTCTATTCCAATGCATTTGTTTTGTGTGTGTTCAGGTTTTCACGCTGCCAAAAGTTAGTGCTAAGATGAAATTAAAGCTGACTGCTGTTGATGGCTCTCGAGTGCGAAGGGTAGGCATGGCCTGGTTTGGCAGCAGCCGGACAGAGGACTATGGTGAAAGCGGCTTGTTGGTCCTGACCAATCAGGGCGATGTTCACGTGGTGTCACTGCCACACGTCAAGATGCAGGTACACTACCCCTGCATCCGCCGAGAGGACGTCAGTGGAATCGCTTCTTGTGTTTTCACCAAGCACGGCCAAGGTATAGAGACACC